CCTCTCCGATCTTGGCGTTGAAGTTCCCTATCGTGAGAAGTCTATTTTCCTTCTTAAAAATCTTCTCACTTAGTTTTTCCAGATCTCTTTTTACCCATCCTATTCCCACATTGTTATATATTGCGATATTATCATCTCCTTCATTTTCTGATCTTCACATCGTCTAAAATTACTCCGTGTTGTCACTGCTCGATTTTTACACCCACTGCCATCCCTTTATGATACCTACTATCACTCACTATGATTCTAAGATAGAGATATTCAAAAAAGATTTAAAAATAAATAGATAAGGAAAAAAAATTCTCATAATAAATATCTTTTATAATTTCTTTATGAAATACAAATTCCTCTTTTCTTCCTGAATCCCATCTGCGTATCGCTTAGCGTCTATTTTGCATCTAATTCTCTTTCCAACTTTTTCCTTAGTATTTCCGCATATATTTTATATCATGTGTCCATCAGCGTTATTCCTCTATAGTTTTTTACTTCTTCTTTCCTCCTTTTCTTATATATTCGTACTATTATTCCCTTCCTCCATTCTTCCGGATATCCTTCTCCGTTCCATATTCCGTTCAAGCATTTTGTCATATCTTTTAACAAGCGTTCCGTGCGTTCCATCCACGCTTCATTTGCTATACCATCTTCTTCTGTCCCCTTTTTCTTTTTCATTTTTCTTATTACCTCTTTTACTTCTCTTTCTTTGATTTCTTCACCTTCCTCTCCTTCGCTGTCTTCGGTTTCTTGCCCTTTGTTTTCTTCCTTTTCTTTTTCTCCCAGTTGTCCCTTGAAGTGCTTTAACCATTTTTCTTTTCCTATGTTTTCATCTAATCCAATTCTTTTCTTCCTATTGCAATTCACTTTATCCCAGAATTTTCTTCTCGTCTTATCTTTTCTTATATCTTCTGCCACTGTTTTCCCCTCAGCTTCTTTTGCTTTTCTTATTTCCTCTTTGTATTCTCTCTTTGCTTCTAGGTATTTGCCTCTGCTTCCTTCTCCTTTACTTACCTTATTTAACTCTGCCATCACCCTAGCCCTTTTTATCCTACATTCTTCTCTGCACCACCTTTTTTTTATCCTTTTTTTTTTCCCTTATCTTCTTTTTACGACTACGTTCCTCACTCTATATTTTATGTCTTTCCATTTTTCTGTTCCCTCTATTGCGTTTATCCATCTCTGATATTCTCTTATACCTTCTTCGCTCCAGTCGTCTGCCATTCATTCTTCCTCTTCTTTTCATTCTTCTGCTACTTTGTCTCCCAATTCCACTTCTACTGGTAATTAGTCCGACTTTACCCTATCTTTTAATTGAACCCTTTTTATTGCCTCATTACCTTCCTCGTTACTTACTACATAATCTATCGTTGACATTCCTCTCGCTCCTATATATATTATTACTCCCTCTTCATCTCCTTCTTTTCTCCCATTCGTTATCACTAAACCCATTTCTCCTAGCCATTTTAACATTTCTTCTCCCTCTGCGTTTAACACTTTATCCTTGGCCTTTATTTCTTCTAGGTTTTCTTCTGTCTCCCATTCCCTTCCTTCGGTTCCTGTTCTTGCGTTGAAGTCTCCTCCTATAATTATTGTTTTTCCTCTGTTCTCCTTTATCTCTTCGCTTAGGTATTCATAGTTTTCCTTTTTCTCATGTTGCATATACACCGTTGCTATCATGTATTTCCTCCCTCCGATCTTTATTTCTCCTGCTATTACCTCACTTGTCCTTTCTTTCTTCCATTCAACCTTACTCATCCTTTTCCTCTCTCTTACCGCCATTATTCCTCCTCCTATTTCTCTTCCCCTTCTTCCTTCCCTTCTTGAGTCTCTCTACTCTATGTTATACCCTTTCAGTTGCTTCTCCACCCCAGCCTCTTCACCCAAGTTTTCGTTAGCCCTATTATATCGAATTCCCTAACATATTCCCAGTCGTCTTCCTCCATGCTCCTAATCCCCACCATGTTCCAGAATAGTATCTTTACTGCCTCTCTTCCATCTCTCTCCCTTTTCTCCTCTCTCTCTCTCTCTCTCTCTTTTCTCTATTGTTTTCGAAACCCTTCCGCCCTTTTTTCTACCATTTTTCCTTCTTTCTCACTTCACCACCATTCTTCTTCCTCTGACTTCAACCCGTTATGCCACATCTTTACCTCATTACCTTTAATTTTATTTCTCTCGCTTACCTTCTTACTTTCTCTCTTATTTTCCTCTGCTTCCACGTCCAGTCCTGATCTATAAAGATCTTTTCCTGCCCCAGCTTCTTTTTCGTCTTCATAATTCCTTCTTTTTGTTCCCATGAAGCGCATCTAATTTGCCATATCTTTTTTTCCTGTTTTTTCCCGATCCTCCCTCCTCGCTATCCTTATTCTTCTCAGATCCACTATCTCCCCTTTCATTTCTAGTTCCTCCCTTAACCAGTCCTCTGCCTATCTCTTCCTTTCCCATCTTACCCCACCCTCTAAGTCTGTCACTATTATATTGTTCATCCTACTCTCTCTATCCATTTTTTCTTTCATATACTCTGTTTCACCCTTATTGCCTACTTTTATTCCTCTTTGCTTCTCGTTTCCTCCTTCTATACTTTCTTTTAGTTTCACGCAGTCTTCTTCCAACTGGTTCATCCTCTCTCTCCATTTTTCCTGCTGTTTCTTTTCTCTAAGTTCTGCTTTTTCCCTTTCTTAATCTTTTTTTTCCTTTCTCTCTCTCTCTCTCTCTCTCTCTCTCTTTTTCTCCTAACTTTTCCTATTTCTTTCTCCCATCTTTCTTATCTTTTTTTCCGCTCAGCCTCCATTCTTTCCATTATTTAGTTAAACATTTCTGTCCTTTCTCTCCTTTCTTTCTCCCATGCCTCTCTTAAACCCCTTATATCTGCCCGTATCTTTTCCATTATATTTTCTACCTCACTACTTTTTCCCATTTCATTTATCGCGTTGTCCAATTCCTTTTCTCCCTCCCCCTCCATCTCGCAACCCTCACTTTCGCTCTTGCATCTTTTTGCCTCTCTAATTTCTCCTCTAATATTCTCCCTTAGCCACTCTCCGCTCCCTCTACCCCTCACCACCTTTAATCTTTTCTTCTTTTCCTCCTCTGTGCCTTACTTATCCATCCTTCCATCCTTATCTCCCTTTTTTGCTGTTGTCACAAACCTTTCCATCACTATCCCGTACGCCTTTATTCGTCTCTCTAATTCTGCGCGTGATCCCACCTTTATTACCTTGTCTTACCTTTTTTGTCTACACCTTTACTTCTTACCACCCCTCCTCTCTGCCTGCTTTTCCCGCTTTCTGATTTTCTCTCTCAACTTCAACTTTTCTTTTTTCTTTATTCTTCTCTCTCTACTTTTTCCTGCTCTTCTCCAAACCTCTCTCTCTACTCCACTTCTCTTCCGCCTCCACTCTCTTTCCACCTCTATCTCTCCCCACAAACACTTTCCCTCTCTAACTTTCTTAGCAAAACTCGCACTCACAGCCAAGACACGTCCACTCCCTTCCACGACTCGAAACCCACTCCGCTATCAATATACATATTGAATATATATGTCACTACTAAATTCAACACATCAATCAAGCGTACAGTATATAAGTGACAAGTTTTCTATTGCAACAATTAATAGACACTATTGAATATATAATCCACTAACAAAATAAATATAGTAAATAATTATACAGTATACGAATGGAAGAAGCATATATTACATAATGTATTTCGTCATGAGAAAACGTACTTAACAATGAAGACATCAACTGACTCAATAAATGAAGAATATTATAGTCTGCTAAATTCAACACAAATCTGTTATACACCGTAACAAAGTTCATGCACCTTTTAGTTCCGACGTCAAATTCCTCATTTTCGAAGGCTCATATCTCAGATAAAAAAGGTAGCAAGTAGCTTAAATTTTTTGAAAAGAAAGGAAAAAGTCTCTACTGTAAGACATTGTTACTGGTTTTCCGATAGAATGAGACCTTAACTTATACGACCTTAAAATTAAATATTATTTTCAAACCATAAAATTTGTAAAATTTTGCAATATATCTAAGTGAAGGTGAATTTTTCTTGATAATTCTGATTATTACACTTATAGATTTTTTATGATTTGGCAGCGTTTTAAAAATCGTCTTAAAAAGTGCTTTTTTTGAAGATTTAAGAATTCGTGTCCGTGCGAAATGAATATTAACATTGAGTTTAACGTTACCCAATAAGCACTATACAAGGAAGAGGAGAAGAATCGTCGTGTATTTTTTGCTTACGTGGTTGTGTGTATCATGGGGTAGTTAAGTTAAGACTGATTGAAGAAATCTGTGAACAAAATATTACTCGAAGTTGTGCTTGATTAGTAGAGTTAATTAGGAAACAACTTTTGACGCGTTGTTAAGAGATTCATTAACATCTTTAGAAAAACATAATAGCTCGAAAATCTTATGGTTAGAAGAAATACGTATGATCGATTATATAGATGTTGTTTTTTTTTCACAACGTTAACGAATCTAATATCGAAACGTGATAAGTTGCTTCATTTCATATTGCCTTTACCGATCAAGCACAACTTGAATTAAAAAACTTCGGCATGCGAGAACAGATATCAAAGAAATCTCTGTAACATACTTAGGACCTAATAGATATTTTTTTTTTATCTTGTTAAAATCTAACGGTAATTCTGAAATTGTATTGAAATATATGTTGGTTTATGTTTAACTTGTATTTTTTCTTGACGGAAAATAAAGATCACACTCTCTCTCCCTATCTCTCTACTATATACATGCTCTGGTATTACGCTGGTTACCGAAAAACGCGTATCATTGCCGCTAAAGTTACCATTTCACAACGTGGATGTTTTGAGTACCAGTCTCGCTCATCTGACATGCGGTAACCGTTCATCAGTGCGAGTTACTTGCATTATAAGTATTTGCACTGACCACTGTTGCTTGTAATGAATTCAAGTTGTTTTTTGTTTTTTACTCGATAAATGGGCATATAATTGAAATTTATTTATCTGATATTACTTGCAGCTCTGAAAAATGAAATAAAACGAGTATGTGCTGAAGAATATTTAGTTTGTGGAGAAGGAGATGATCAAGGCGGAGCTTGGCAAGAAAAGGTATTACCTTCACCTATATATTATTCTATTATTATATATTATTCTATTATTATATATTATTCTATTATTATATATTATTCTATTATTATATATTATTCTATTATTATATATTATTCTATTATTATATATTATTCTATTATTATATATTATTCTAATATTATTCTATTCGGTTTGCCCTATATTCAGTCATACTTTCGTACTTTCTCATCGGTTTTCAGTATAATTTAGATTGAATCTATTACAATCCTACATTTATGTATTTTTTATACCACTGTAGGGCTTTTATCACCTTTTCATAATACTTTTTTTTATATGCTCTGAGGCTCGATTCTTTTGTACCCAATGCTTTCGTAACATAACCTTTATAAGTAACTGAAGGACGTGAAAACTCCTCTCTCCATTAGGCTTATAGATTAATTCAATATTACCCAAGTGAAATTCACCTATAGTATTAAACTAATTATTGGATAACTGTTCAAAAGAGAAAAAATTACTAGTGTTTTCATTTTAAGATTCCCATTGTTTAAGCAAATTGCGAACAATCTTGTATATTCAAATAAGTAATTCTCGACCAATCGATTTTAGAGATGAAAATAAGTCAAAAATCTTTATATTATTTATTTGTCAGAGTTTATTTTATTAGTCTATTATAATTATAAATAATTATCCGGGAGAGCGATGTTGAACGTACCCCAAACCGAATTTACGATAATAAACAGTCTTAAACACAGGGGCAGACTTGCCATGAACGGCGTTCAACTCAACTGTGATTTCTTTTGGTGTAAGACCTTTCAAAGGAAAATGTTTTATCACCGCTCAAAACTCTATTTTTTCCATTTTTCAAATAAACCAATAACTTTTTGTTCAATCAACGCTCACAAAAAAACGACTCAATGAATCGAGCTGAAACTTTGTACGATATCTAGTTAGTAGTATTGCTTGCCAAAAACATCATAATTTAAGCGTGACGAGCGCCATCTCTTGGATTTTGCAAAGACTTATTGATCCTCCCTCGGACCAGTTTTCATGTTCAATGATTCAGCTTCAAATATTAAAATATAATCTATTGAAGGTATTTGTTTAAAGAATATTAAAGTTTTTATTTAGGATGAAGCACTAATGCCACCGAGATATGCTTTAGAAATTGTTAATAGAATATTAAAATATATTGTGAACAATGATTTACTATTTGGCGGTAAAATAATGATTTTCTCAATAGTGAAGAATTAAAACGTTTCTTCTTCGGAAGAACAGTTAGATAATTTGATAATTTTAAAAATACAGGTGTTTTTTTCATCGAGACAGATGAAAAACGTTACAAATTTAATACGTTGTACTGCTGGCAATAAATGTGTGATTAATAATTACCGTGAGCATATAACTTAAAAAGCTGCATTTTTTTAATAATTTAAACGAATTTCGTAGTTTTAAATTTGATGGTGAAAAGGTAAGAAACATCTTTTATAGGGGTATGTACAGAAGAAACAATAATAGACGTTATAAATATAAACTACTTTATTTAATGCTCACGGTGATAATATAAATTAAGAAGTTCTTGGTTATGCGAGCACCACCAAACATTAACCTTTGAATTTATAGCTCAATTCTTTTTAGCCTGCGGGTTTGCAAGATTCGAAAAAGACGATCTATACAAAAATAATAGGTGTTTCGTCCAGGACTAGTAGATTGGACTCCTCAGTAGGGGTCTACTAGTCCGGCCTAGACACCTTGCCACTTGATGTACAGCAGCTAGAATTATTAGAGGAACCTGCTTAATTCTTATATAGAAAAATTAAGCCCTCTACTGGCAATATTTCAACCAAATGCCGAATTCAAATATAAACTACTTTATTTAATGCTCACGGTGATAATATAAATTAAGAAGTTCTTGGTTATGCGAGTTATTATTATTATTACTATTATTTTTGTATAGCTCGTCTTTTTCGAATCTTGCAAACCCGCAGGCTAAAAAGAATTGAGCTATAAATTCAAAGGTTAATGTTTGGTGGTGCTCGCATAACCAAGAACTTCTTAATTTATATTATCACCGTGAGCATTAAATAAAGTAGTTTATATTTGAATTCGGCATTTGGTTGAAATATTGCCAGTAGAGGGCTTAATTTTTCTATATAAGAATTAAGCAGGTTCCTCTAATAATTCTAGCTGCTGTACATCAAGTGGCAAGGTGTCTAGGGCGGACTAGTAGACCCCTACTGAGGAGTCCAATCTACTAGTCCTGGACGAAACACCTATTATTTTTGTATAGCTCGTCTTTTTCGAATCTTGCAAACCCGCAGGCTAAAAAGAATTGAGCTATAAATTCAAAGGTTAATGTTTGGTGGTGCTCGCATAACCAAGAACTTCTTAATTTAATTATAGACGTTATATGAAGTGAATGTCATCTTTTAGGATATTGTGTTGTAAAAATAATGGCTAATGGCGGGCAAGATTTTTTCAAAGTGTACATGTCAATAATACCAGAATATTTCATAGAAGTCAATAAAAATTGTATTGCTTTAATATAGTTGATCCCTAAACTTAAAAACTAAATATCATAACGAAACTTTCGGAGTCTCTTCCTTATATAATGACGAATTATCTGCCGAAATTTACAGCCTCTGTCATCTATGAAATTTTTAAGAACGAGCCCCTCAAATATTGCTTTTTTAATGTAAACTCTTATATGACAGACATCCAATTCGGTGTTTTATATTTAATATCTCTCTGAATAAATCGGATAATAAGTTGAAAAACTAAGAACAGGTAGTTCTAATCATAAGCTTTCTGATAGTATCTTTATAATAGGGTGTCAACATGCATTTTAAAGAAATATTCAAGTAATAAAATCATTTTATTCATATTTCGGAGATCCCGATCAGACGAGCACCATATACCTTGCGCGCGCTCAATTCAAATACGAGTAGTAAGGTTATGAGAAAAAACGGGTTGGAATTGAATTATATTATTTATTATTATAATTTTATTACATAATAATAACATTAATATTATTAATTTTGTTAATAGTATCATAATTTTTATATATTATTTAATTTTGTAAAGTTATTGAACAATTTTTTGGTCTAATTTTTTTTGTTAGAGCATCTCATACGATTCAACATGTATTTTAATTATCTTTTCATAAAAGGAATATTACATTAAAATGAGGTAAAAAGTTATTTTATTCAGATGAATTTGTAAACAAATTATATATTGATTGTAAAATAGTAGCATTTTTTGTTATACGAGATTTGTTATTGACATTTTCAATACATAATGAATATATTCCTGGTATACCATGTTTTCCGAAAGCAGCCTTCATTACTTCGAAAGTTATTCCAGCTGTAGCCAACTTAGAAATAGTTGTATTTTTTAGTTAACCTTTTAATTTTTGCCAAATAGCTTTGTGTAACGTTATTTTCAATTTCAAATCTTTCTTTTTTTCAATGTCTGAAATGCTTTCTGGGTATTTCTTAATCATAGTTTTAGAATAGCACAGTAACTAATATCATCAGATTTTTTCCTTTATCAAGTCGCCAAAAATGTTTTGAATAATCCACTGGTTTTGCAGGTAGTATACAATGTACCGGACGGTTTATATTATTTATTATCTTGATCATTAGATGCTCCATAGCCTACATCGAACAATTATTTAGCTAAATCAATTTCATGTGGCAAAGCTCTCATGTTTGTTTTCAAATGAAATATTGAAAGAAGCGGCCATAAGCGAGAGTTTTTTTAAAGACAAATTAAAAATTTCATTACGCGTTCTATTAATCTTGATAGGAAGTAATTGCCTGAAATCACCAGTTAAAATCATTATTTTACCGCCAAATGGTAAATCATTGTTCATAATATATTTTAATATTCTATTAACAATTTCTCAAGCATATCTCGGTGGCATTAGTGCTTCATCCTAAATAAAGACTTTAATATTTTTTAAACAAATACCTTCATTAGATTATATTTTAATATTTAAAGCTGAATCATTGAATATGAGAACTGGTCCGAGGGAGGATCAATAAGTCTTTACAAAATCCAAGAGATGGCGCTCGTCATGCTTAAATTATGATGTTTTTGGCAAGCAATACTACTAACTAGATATCGTACAGTTTCGGCTCGATTCATTAAGTCGTTTTTTTGTGAGCGTTGGTTGAACAAAAAGTTATTGGTTTATTTGATAAATGGAAAAAATAGAGTTTCGAGCGGTGATAAAACATTTTCATTTGAAAGGTTTTACACAAAAAGAAATCACAGTTGAGTTGAACGCCGTTCATGGCAAGTCTGCCCCTGTGTTTATGACTGTTTATAACTGGGTAAATGAATTTCAACGCGGCCGTACAACAACAAAAGTTGAACCTCGTTCAGGACGCCCCGTAGAAGTGAGTACGCCTGAAATGGTCAACAAAATCGACGATATGGTGTTGAATAATAGAAGATTAAAATTGCGAGAATTAGTTGAGGCCACAGGGGTATCAAAGGGTACAATCATTTCAATTTTGCATGAAAAGGCAAAGACAGTAAAGTGAGCTGGCAAGATTATGGTCACGGTTTTTTCTGGGATGCGTATGGAATCATCTACATCGACTACTTGGAAAAGGGCCAAACGATCACTGGACAATATTATGCGTCATTATTAGGTTAGTTGAAAGAAAAATTCAGAGAACAGCGTCCTCACTTGATAAAAAATGCCTCTTTCTTCAAGATAATGTTCGAGTTCAAACGTGTTTAGTTTCGATGGCAAAAATTAACGATCTAAAGTTCGAATTAATTGACCATCCACCGTATTCGCCTGATTTGGCTCCCATTGACTTTTTCTTATTTCCTAACCTCAAAAAATGGCTTGCCGGACAACGATTCACGTCGAATGAAGAAGTCATCGCCGAAACAAATGTCTATTTTGAGGGTTTTCAGAAATCATATTTTTCTGATGGCTTAAAAAAACTAGAAGGCCGTTTAATAAAATGTATTGACCTTCAAGGAGATTATGTACTAATATAACAATGAAATAACAAAATTTTAAATATAAAAATCCCAAATTTATTTTTCATTATGTAACAGGCTGCCGTTTAGTCTATGACCCTGCAGACGTACCTTTAATTGCGACTAAACGACGCCTTGTTATCTCTGTGCACAAGGCACAGTAACCTACCTTGCCTCGGAGTGCGCCTGCGCAGAGTCTCTTCACTGTTCCGAGTTGGGTTCCCCCAACTCACCGCTTGGCGGCGCTGTCGCCCATTGCTTGTAGCGCTCGTGCGGTCGCCGCCGGAACCTAAGTCGTCGACTCGCGTCTATCGATAATCGCACGATCCGTGCTACGCAACCGGCGAATTCGAATCCCCTGAAAATAAACACTGGCGCGACCTCCGGACAAAGGAAAGACCAAATAACGACTATTTAACTCGAAAGTAATGATCAACATGCACTTTATTGATGCAATTTAACTACACGGGAGTTTTGCCGAGAGACTTTCGCACGCTCGCGTGAACGACAAGACACGCTATTTGAGAGAGAGAGAAAAAAACCGCGATTACCGCGAACTACCTGCTCGCACGCAATAGATAAATTCTTCGCGCTCGCTGCGCGGATTCGCACGCAAATTATAACAGCGATTGACAATGGGAAGAAGGTGCACCTACCGCGATATCGATGAGGATACGGTGGCCAACCGTATCCGACTAACACGCTGTTGATCGACTGTTCCGCTGCTTGCTGCGCCGCTTCGATTGCTATTGCTGCTGTTGTTGTTGTTGCCACTGATGTTGCTGCTGTTGATGCTGCTGCTGTTGCTGCTACCGCAGTTGCTGCTACTGCTGCTGCTGCTATTAGCACACCCACGCACTCAAGTCCTCAACGTCAATGGCAAAACCCAAAACTCGGATGGCTCGGGAAAAACGGAGGTTAGATCGGCACGAACTGACTGAGTGGCACAGTCATACTGCCGGTCGGAGCCTCCCCTCCCGGTCATTGCCCCTACGCGCTCTCTCTCTCGTGCTCTCGCTCTCGCTCGCTCTTAATCCAGTACGCGGATCTAAACGATTTTCGATAATCGTTGCAATTAACATATTTAAAACGCGGAATATTTGCAGATTAATTCAGTATAACTTTGTAGTAGCTTTTGGTTTAGATTTAGTTAGTTCTGGGTTTAATTTGTTTTGGTTTAGTTGAGTTTTGAATTTGGTATGGTATGGTCGCGTTTGATCAGTATAATAAATTATGTTAAATGACAAATGAAAAAGTATATTTGTATTTTAACCAAGTAAATACATCAAATCACTTAAGTCACTGAATTGAAATTCAAAAATCACTCAAGACTACTTCCATCTGACAGTAACTATAGCAAATGCTAAGGCTTGAAAGTAACTCACTAGAATATATAATTAATTATAATAATTACATTTTACATCAAATTACTAATAAAACACGAACTACGCATAAATCATTAGATTATAGCTGTTTTTATTAACGGCTGTATTCAAAAATGTGTTTGATATTGTTAGATTTATTTTCGAGTTTAAAGAGCAACTAATTTTGCATACTAAAGCCCCGAGAATGTCAAAATCTTTTTAATCAGGTGATCTAAAAAACCATTAGTTTTTTATGTTATTGAAGACAATAAATTTTTTTTATTCGTTAAATAAAAGTACATTTATTGCAATGGTAGTCGATTCGATTAATCTATCCGTTCGCGATTCGTCTACTCGCGATGTTAGTTCGAACGACTAAGAGAGAGAAAGGGCGCGCGAAGTTTTGGAAATAGGCAGTTTAGCCTCAGTTGCTTTCGCGATTGTACCGCCAATTTAGTTTTTTGCACTGTGTTTCGCCGTTAGTTTATAAATCGAAAGTTTCCTGGATTTCGATACGTGCGTAAGTGCAGCAAGTAAGCAGCAGCAAGCAGCATCATTACAACAGCAGCAGATGTTTGTATCGAGGTAGTGCAGCTGATTGACCCAAGGAGCACCGTTGATTTTCTTCAACAATTACGGTTGATCACCGAAATTGCACCGCAGGATAGGTGTACCTTCCTTTTATTGCGCGACAAAATATTAGCGAGAGTATTTTGTCTATTGCGATCGTTATTTTTTGTATTCACGCCTAGCGTTAGTTTTCGCGGCAAAGTTTCGAATTCTCTCTCTCTCTCTCTCTCTCCTTTCGTATTATTATTAATTTTCGTAAAATCCTATTCGCGTGCGTTAGTCTTTCGGCCCGTAAAAGATTGTAGTTTATTTGAATTAAATGTTATTAATTTTATTTGTAGCATTACGTCATTTTCGTTTCCTATTAGGTTAACGGATCTATACGGATTAAATTTTAAACCGATTTTATCTAGGGGATTAGGTGAAATAAGCATTAGGTCACTCACACCTAAGATAGATGGAGTGTTACAAGTCAGGTGACTCAAGGTAAGTTCAACTCTGTTAGAAAGAAGAGACTGAAACGAAAGTATCAAACGTAGAGGCGATTACACGTATATTCATACGTGTTTAACGGAGCAACGGTTAGCTCTACATCGTGGGAGTTTGTGCTTTCACAAATTCCTATTGTACTAGTTAATCCATCTCGTTATACTATATATAATTTAACAATAAAAGACATATTTTCAAGCGAAGAAAGTAAATAAATCGTTAAAATATAATTTTTAACAAAATATTACAAAAAGTAATTGTTATTTTCTAACATTCATGACAACTTTTACAAAAAAACGTGTTCTCCCCAATTCCTTCTTTAAAAAAATGATGGCCTGGAAAGTGAAGCCAGTTTATTCGTGACTTGATTGGCTGTTTTCGAAATAAGCGGGAAAAATTCAAATTTTAAAACACGTGTATGAATATGAAAATTTCAAAAAATAATAATGAATAGATAGGTATCATAATAGTATATGAAGATATTTTAAATATTTTGTGTTTAATATTTCTGTTTTTTTATATTATTAATTTTTTAATAAGAAAATAATAATTATTAGTTTCTTTATTAAATGCTTTACTTTAGTATAAAAATCTTTATGTTAGTATAGTACAGTCGAATTTTTTTAACATATAGGTGGCGCTGTGTTTTAAGTGTGAACGACTTTACTCCTAATCTTCTTAATCCCCTAGATGTAATTGGATTAAAACCTAAGCCTGTTTCAAATACTTAAGCTACCAGGAAAATCATCTGACGTTAAGACGAATACACGTATTATCATACGTGTTTAACGGAGCGGCGGTTTGCTCTGCATCGTGGGAGTTTGTTCTTAAATAAATTTCCCATTTTCAGATTTATCTCCCCCGTTACAATACATATATATATATATATATATCTAATGACTTGTTGTATGTGTATGTATTTGTGTGTTTTTTTCCATGTTTGTTTGATAATAAATGATATCTGGTAATATTTACTCAATTTTTTCCTTTACTTTTTTACATTTCAGGTACTTCAATTATATCAAATAAGTAATTTGAATCATGGTCTGATGATGGTGGGACCTAGCGGTTCTGGAAAAACCAGTGCTTGGAAAGTTTTATTAAAAGCTTTGGAAAGGCATGAAGGACTAGAAGGCGTTGCTCATGTAATTGATCCAAAAGCAATCAGTAAAGAAACTTTGTATGGAGTTCTTGATCCAAATACCCGTGAATGGACAGATGGTCTTTTTACGCACATATTACGGAAAATAATAGATAATGTTCGTGGTGAAATAAATAAAAGGCAATGGATTATTTTTGATGGTGACGTAGATCCAGAATGGGTAGAAAACTTGAATTCTGTTTTAGATGATAATAAATTATTGACTCTTCCAAATGGAGAAAGACTTAGTCTTCCCCCAAATGTCAGAATTATGTTTGAAGTACAAGATTTGAAGTACGCTACCCTTGCAACAGTTTCTCGTTGTGGTATGGTGTGGTTTTCAGAGGATGTTTTATCAACTGAAATGATTTTTGAAAATTATATGCTTCGACTGAAGTATATTCCACTCGATGATGGCGAAGAAGATCTTTCAGTTAAAAAGAACAGTGATAAAGATGATTCTTTTTCACCAACACTCCATTTACAACGTGATGCTGCTAATTTTCTACAAAGTTTTTTTTCACCCAACGGTTTGATTGTGAAATGTTTGGAGTATGCATCGAAACAGGAACATATCATGGACTTTACTAGACTGAGAGCTTTAAATTCTCTTTTCTCAATGCTAAACCAAGCTCTCAGAAATACGCTCCAATACAACCATTGTCATTCAGACTTTCCATTATCTAATGAACAGTTAGAGCGTTATATTACAAAATCTCTTGTTTATGCTATTCTTTGGAGCTTTACTGGAGATGCAAAATTAAAAATAAGAGCAGATTTTGGTGATTTTATAAGATCAATAACAATGATTCCATTGCCATCTCAAACAAACATTCCTATTGTCGACTTCAAAGTTGATATTCAAGGCGAATGGCAACCATGGAGTAACAAAGTACCTCAAATAGAAATAGAGACACATAAAGTAGCTAGTCCCGATGTAGTTGTACCGACTTTAGATACTGTAAGACACGAAAGCCTTCTTTACACATGGCTTGCTGAGCATAAACCATTAGGTAAGTTTCATAATTTATCAAAATAACGTTTTATTCGACTATTTTATGAAATTATTGGATGAAATATTAAATGAAAATTATATACTTCAACTGTAATATTATAAAAAATCTAAGAAGGTATTTATTAGAAAGTTTGGTCAGGTAGAAATACGACGACATCAAAACAGAATGAAAGAATTAAATATCACCCTCATAAAGAGAGTTGGCCGATATTATAGGCCCACAAAAAAGGTTTGTTTTCTGCATCATTAATGCCATAAAGATATTTTCATATATTTTTACTCACTGAATGACGAATTGGTACCCTGTTTAATCCGAACCCGTACACGACAGGATTTTTTCAAACCTCTAAAACCACCTCAAATAATATCAAAATTATCAATTACGTTACTTTATCTACAAAACTGTCACCAAAGTTCTATAACCACTACAGCCTGAAACCGTTTGATTGCTCAGCATCTTACCAAAATAATTTATAATACAATAATCCCATAACCCGATAACCTTTTGAACTAAGAAATACATACATTCAAAATTTCGCCCGGCGAACTGAACAATCTCATAACCTCTGGCGTGCAGTGATTAGTAAAATTAGATAATAACCCCATAACTCCAAAAAAGCAGAACTCCAAAAAACCCATACAATGGATAAATTTTGTACAGAGAAATTTATAAATCCTGTGTATATGTTACTAAGCTAATAGTTTGCATATCTGCAAAACACGCATGAAAAAAGAAAACAGCTCTTCGACACTCTTTTAACCTAAAGGATTTATCAAGTGGATGTTGTTTACATTTTTTACTATTATTGATATTCTCTTTTTTAATGTCCAACAGTAGTCAACCATTATGTACGTATGGAGTACCGTGATAACATTAACCATTTCCTTTATATTTTGATGAAAGTATTCTCCTTATTCCTTGCTGTAATCCCCAAGATTTTTTAGGAAATTATTAAGATAAGAATCGAGAAAGTGTAATTCGTAACACTTTAAGTAGTTCAGTTTCTCAATGTTTTTGAGCATACTCGTATACTCTTCAACCATTTTTTCCATCATGCAAACGCTAAACAAAACATTCTTGATATATCTCTCACACTATTTTCAAGGTCACTCTTTTTAATATATTGTGCTGTTTTAATGGTATGATCAAACTTGCAAAAACGTTGCATTTTTTATCACTTTTTTGCATAATTACGTAAAAAAAGCAAATTTTTAGTCTTATTTTTTTCAATCTAAATTTTGAATGTCTTAGCCTTATATTATCTAATCATGAATCACATTAATCGCGTGTACGATTATTGTGCTTTTGAACTATGTGTTTGGTTTTTTCCTATGGTGAGTTACTTTTGCAAAATCGTGGCTAAAACAATAGCAAATTCTTGCAAAATTTGAAACATTACAATTTTTTTATTAGAGCGTTTTTGTACTACCGGTATGCAAGATATACATGGTTTTTGACATTTTCTTCGTTACAAATAATAAATTTGTCATTATTTTTGCCAAATTAGTTAACCCTTTCAGGGGCACTTTTTTCTGCTGCACTTATCTGGAACCCGAAAGTGTATATAAAGGTTTTCGGTGTCGCTGATTACGAATCTGAAGTCTGATTTTCAACATTCAAAATGGCGGATCTAATATGGCGGAAATAATTTTCAAACTGAAGCTTATATGAATTAAAATTTATATATTTGGGTTTTCGTTATAACCGAAATTATTCCATTTTGAATTTTTTGAATTCCGAATTCGTATTCGTAATGAGCAAGCTTATAAATACCCTTACACCATCTTTCAAGTGAAATTCTCAGAAAACCGCAACTCTAAATTAAAATAGCCGCCATATTGTATTTTTCAAATTCTGATATCGGATTCATGATCATTGCCTTCAAAAGCCCTTTTATACAAATTTTCATATAATTATCTTGAAAACTCTGTCCAATACCGAATTTATTCGAAAAAACTAAAAATTTTCCGTCTTTGATTGTTTATAAATAATTGAATAAATAAATTTTCAAATTTTTAATCAAAGCATTACGAAGCTTAAGTACTAATGATGGTATAAAAATTTATTCGAATAAAAAACTGAAAAAATTTAGGTGTATCATATATGATACGCTTATCTTGAAAGGGTTAATTTCAATAATTTGTTTAGTCAAATTATGTAAAAACTTAAAAATTTCCCAAAATTATTAATTAATTCCCAAAATAATTAATTGTAATCTACGGGAAAAAATACGTAAGATACCCTGTCACGGTAAACGTCGTATTAGCGCTAACAGCCCAACCATGCGGCTGCACCTGCTGGTTGGGGGGCGAAATATATTAAGGGAATTCGGTACGAGACGCGACGATTTTTAATATAGCACTCGCACTCGCATCACACGTGGAACTTTACGTTAAATAGCGTGTAAATTTACGTTAAAATTAGCCGCAACACAACTAACAGATAACAATGGACCGCACTCAAAAAGAGGTCGAAGACTGGGTGTTGACGCTCCAAGACGAGGAAATAAACGAATACCTCGAACACTTGGAGCTCAAGACAAGCGGGAATAAGCTCTTGAGAGCTGGGTGACTGCAAAATTGGTTGTTAGGCAAATACTCTGTGGCGGATTTCGTTGAAGTCGACAACCAACCCAGCAGTCCAGCAAGAAGAGCAGCCCTACGCTCGGAGCTCATAGTATCCATATGCGCGGAACACACAGCATCCGAACAATAAGGAGAACACCCGCTAGCCCAGCTAATGCAGAGTGCGAAAGTAATATCGCGGATTCAAGAAACAGCGATAAACATCACAAACGTACTGGACGACGGCGAGAGTACGAACAGTAACAAAAACATCACGATAACTGCTAATGATGGTAGCCAATTCCAACTCCCGCCGGCATTCGCTGTGATGATTCAAGATCTCATTTTCCGGTCCAGAGAGAATGAGAAGAAGCTCGAGCTGCTAGACTCGTTAAGAGTGAATGTGTCCAGTCTAACGAAAGTATTAGACCAGATATATAACAACAACAGCAATGTTAAGAGCAAAATGGACGACCTATCCGCCAGGATGAGCGCATTGGAAAATGCTGAAAACAGAAACATACAGCAAGACAATACGAATAATTCCAGCGAAATGCGACACCGAGAGAATACGCGTAGGAGCGTAGCATTCCAGGATACCTTCACCTACCATTACGACACCAGGTTACCTCAAAGTACTCCAGCTGAACCCGGATAGAGGCCCACGGGGGCCAGCAGCAGGACCCCCCCCGGACGCTCCCTTTCGGAGAGGGTGGACAGCATAAACTCAGTGGAGTTAATGCTGAAGTAAATAACCACCCACCGAGCACGTGGTCATCTCAGCCGACAACAAACCCTTGGTCGACTACAAGGGATGTTGGTCGCATTGTCCGAGTATGGAAACTCAAGTTTTCAGGAGAGGGCAATGCAAGTATCGACACCTTCCTGTCTAGGCTGGACAACTTGAGGAATGGCGCAGGACTCACGGAAGATGAGATGCTCCTAGCCGTATCAGAGCTACTCTTCGGTCCCACCCTCACCTGGTACGAGGCGATGAGGGAGGAATGGCTCTCCTACGCTGAGTTCGAGATGGACGCAAGAGAGTGGTTTGAGACCAGCGTACAGCAGCTACAGCGTCAGCGTCTAATGAAGGAGATTCAGAGCCGATATCAGGGCCCCGACGAACCAGTGAATGGTTATATCGCTAACATGATGGGCCTGATGAAGCGGCTAAACCCCCAGATGACGCCTGATTGTCAATTGGACCTGCTACACGCCAACCTTCTCCCGAACATTCAAGGTCAAGTGCGGAGGTCCGAAGTGAACTCCACACAGACTCTGAACGCGCTGGCTACGGCGGCACAGAACAGCTTACACCATGGAAAGGTAGAACGGGTGGTAAGGGCAAAGTGGCAGCGATGTCCAGTGATATCCCGTGGTCAGCGACAGGTTGGACCGTATGGAGAAAGTGCTCGAGAAGGTGACGCACCAGGCCGTCTACACGCCGACGCTCTCGGGGGTGACACCTAGTCCGAGCCTAGAGGCAGTTGACGGGGAGAAGAAGGCTCCACCCACCGATATACTAAGCCAAGTACTGCTATCTCTTAATGAGATATCGGAAGGGTGAAGAATAACTTCGCTGGGAAAAACCTGACCTCAGAGGACCGAACTAAGAAGCCGGAAGCTCCTCGAAGACGGGAGAGAGACTTCTCTAAGCCACTCAAATACATCGAGTGTGGATTACTGGGGTACAGCAGAAAATACTGTCCCCAATGCAATAAGGGAAACGAGGAAAGGAGTGGTTAGGTGGGGTTGACCCCACTCCTTCGTCCCCTAAACCAAACCTCGTAAATGAGATCTCGTGGCCTTCGCCAACACAGTCAGCACCGATAGTCGCGAGCGTGTTGAGCAACGAGAGTGAGAACTCCCCTGGTGACGCCAATGATGAACGTGGCGGTATAGTGAACGCGGAGAGAGAGGGTATCGACGTTAGTAAAGCCCAAGACCCTGGACCGGCCGAGATGGTGGTGAATGGATCGCACACGCCCTCGGGGGCTCGGGTAACGGCAGATAAACCGTCGAAGGGTAACCCCATGGTAACTCCGATCGTCCGAACCAAGGTGGTTCGAACGACAAGTGGCATCACTTTACCACGCGAAAGCACAATGGCTAACGCTATGGTGTGCAAAGAGCAAGGCTGTGGAGCCGCCGAATCTGTTTCGCTATATTTCCCGGAACAGGAAACGCGCTGGTGGCTGCCGGTGAAAATAGGAGACTTCCAGTTACGGGCTCTCTATGATCCGGGGGCTTCCACCACAGCAATGGGTAGTAATGCTCTGCAGATAGCGTCTGTGCTAGGCGTCAGGTTAGATACCACCCACGCGGGCAGGACTATCCGATGGTCGTAAGATGACGATCGTGGGCCATGCCAGGTTGCCGTTCACCATAGGGGAGATGACGATGCCGACGAGGGTAGCTATCCTTCCAACCCTC